TATCAAGTGTTAGATCCGAGAATACTTCTATATTTAGTAGCTTCTTCGCCTCGTGGTCTTCCACATATTTGCTGCACAAATATGGACTTGCCTTTTGTGGAAATATTTTCTCCAATATCTTCGACATTTATCCACCCCCACAAATTCTTAATAACTCCGACAGAAAAAAATGGATAAAATGAAATAAAAGATTGTAAATATCTTTCAACTGATTCCAGTAGATAAAAGGGAACATTATGATTAATATCTACTCCATTTTTCCACATTATACCCAGTGGATATATAAGCCAGGGCCCGCAGTGCAACATGCCTTCAACGAAGCATCATAAGTGGTCACAGGGCTGGTCAGCCACACCTAACATAGCTGAAGTTCCCTTACATCTGAATGGTTGTCTTACGATGCATTTGAAAAGTGGTTGTGCAATCCTTTGCCCCTTTGATTTCAAGGTAAAAAAATTTGACATCTCCTATGTTTGTTCAGGAGTTTGAAACTTTTTCAGTGCTGCACAATTTCTGGCTCACCACTTCCTCAAGTCCTTCAGATTTTTTGACCACTCAATCTAGCTTTTTCTCTTCTATATGAATATCTAATTTTTATTGGTGTAGATGTGTTGTATTCGCTGTCGGAGGCGTTCCGATGCTCAGGGTTCAGGAGATTGAAACTGCTGTCACGCAAGGTCACAATTACTTTGGCTGACAGATGAAGGTCATTTGACAGGCAAATGTCACGCAAATGTCACGGTTGGAGAGCTGTTTGCAGACAAAATTTGGTATTTCGCCCTCCCTTCCAAGAGCACTTCATGTATCTCTCTAGAAATTTGTATGTAGACTCTCAAATGCCAGTTGAATGTACTTGGAAAGTTTCAGAATAAACAGTCTGCCCGATCTGAAGGGATCTGAGAAAACATCTCATTACTTTTGTTTGGTTGGTGTAATGAAAAGCACAAGGTCATGCCTCCAGCACACAAATCTTTGAGTCTTCCTCTGAAATTCTGGAATAGTGAATCTAATGCATAAATACATCTTCTCTGAAAATTTCAATATCCTAGGGTAAGCGAAGGGCAAGATAATGTGCAGTTTCAAACTCCTAATGGGTTTCAAACTCCTGAACAAACATAGTATATCTTTGTGTCGCATTCTACTACCCTCCTCATGACCATGCAGCTGGTCCTCTCAATCATTGTTCTACTCAGTTGGGGGTTTTTGGGTACAACTGAGTTGACCTCACAATCTGCCTATATTCTTCATGAGAATGATCCCACACTGCTTTGGGATGAAATCTGCTTCACCGATGCCAAGCTTCTTCCATTGTCCCGCTGTGGTTTGGTTGGGATTTGGGCTCAAACAATCAAACATAGACAAGTTAGAAGACCTGTTCAAGGATGATATCTCTCATCCTGACTATGGGAAGAATTGGCTGCCAGCTCAAGTCGCCCAGACCTTCCCTTCAAGGTGAGAAAAAAAAACTCAGGGTTGAAATTTTGTGTGGATGGCTGGATGGTGCTGAATTTTGTCTTGACAGGGTGAAGCTCGTGCTATCGCAGAACAGTGTCACTTACTGATAATGATTGTAGAGTGCATTCAAAACTCAAGTACAGCTACATATGAAAAATAGGTCCATGTTGTGTCTATAAGTTCAAGGTCTGAAAGCAATCCACCATTAGACATGCAATGGGCCCAGGTTTCAACATCAGCTGTCCCCTGTGAACCACCTGGCCATCCTTGTGAACCACCCAGCCATCCTTGTGAACCACCCTGCCCTCTGGAACCTGACACAGGGGAGAACTGGCTATTTAGCCAATGGGCACATGAGTAAGCATATGTTGATTGGAGGCATTAATGCTCTCCCATATTCTTCCCATATGCCTACCATGCACATTTGAAATTTAATTGAAGTAAGCTCCAAAATAGAAATATTATGGGATTCCTAGTTACAGGAAAAATATGCCCATAAAAATGGGCTATCATATGTGGCTGATTTGTTCATTTAAAATATGACCACAATGTGCCCAATAGGTACATTATGGTCACATGCTTGTAGGCTCGTGACCAGCCGTTACCTTTCGAACTCCGATGTTCATCTCAAGGTAACGGCTGGGAGCAACGAAGCACTTTTAGTAAGGTCACGCTTTGTCACATCTGACTTAGTGAAAATTCGTCGTAATCGTGTTTGGCTACTACACACATAGTTCATTCCTCCTCCTGTACGCCATCCACACTCCCCTCACTTGAGCTATCAGACCAGCTGTCATCCTCGTGTTCAAACATGTCATCCATATCTAGTGCAACATCCTCTGCACCAAATGTGGTCAAGGTGCGATCCAGGATGCCATTTTCAAGATCCTCGAGAATTCTCGCCACCTCGCTAATCACCTCTGGGTCTTCTTCTTCCGGAATCTTGTCTTCTTGGGTTGAGTTTACAAATGGATCTTCTTGGCTTTGAGGATCCTGTTGTCCTGAAGAATGTAAGTCTATGCCTGTTTCCATTTGAGTTTCAGCTTCGGTTGCTCCTGCACTTGAGTTGGGAGATTCTGGGATGCTTTTTGGTTGGTTTGCGACAGGGACAATCTTCCTTCTTTTCTGAAGTAGAGCAAAGGCTTCGTTGTAGTCGGAGAGCGGACTCTTAGTACCTGCTGTTAGACTTTGCAAACCTGCCGTAATGGCATCTTTCACAGGCCCTCCATCATCGTTGTTTAAGACCCGGCCCCGCTGAACACAGTAAACGTTATGTGCATCAAGGCTTTCCATGAGAGTCTCTATATCACTGGAGAGATCAGCCGGTGCATGGCGTGTCCCTTGATCCGCGCCGAGAATGTCATTGAAACTTCTTGCAAGCTCTCGGAGAATGTCGACGCAAGGAGCAATCTGCTCCACCCATTCCCATGAAGCATTGGAACCATGAGCTTTATAAAATACCTAACGTTTCTGTTAATCTTTGGATGTTGCAGGATGTTACACAAATACCTTGATCCAATAGTTCAAGTGTTCCTGCATAAGATCAACTTCAACCCAGCTGTTTGGCTTTCCTGTTGGGTTAAGGAGCCAGTTGTTCAGTACAATGCTCCTAATAAATTTGGAAAATGTGGTCAGTAAACCTCTTTGAAATATGGACCAACTTTACCGAAGTTCCTTGCTCCAAACACTTGAGAGATTATGGATTAAATGAAGCATCTCATGTGTGTACTTGGACCTTCCATTGCCTCGAAAGCTAAGAGCCCAGATTTTCAGGACAAGGACAACTCATCCAGAATCCCCAGCTTTGATGGCATCAGTCATTTCACGAGATATGAGTGCGTCGCGCATGAAGAGAACAGCATTCTCAAAGACCAAGTCACCATTGGTAATTTTTTCCCCAGCTACCTCTTGTGCTTGACGCTTTTGCCGCAGGTCTTCAACAACAGAGGAGCTTGCATATTGACTGTAGATAAGCTCTGCATGTGAGACAAGAGCATCCCAGTCTGGAAATTTGCTGAGGTATTCTTCTTTTGATGTTGTTTTCGAAACAAGTTGAAGGCAGTGAAGCACACGAGCATATAGCGAGGTAAAAAAAATATCGCGGCTGACCCGAAATGGAGGAAGGGAGGTCAGAGTAATGGGAAGTCGGTTTAAACGTGTGTTGTGATACCAAAGTGAGCCTGGGTTTCTTTCACCAGTGTCAGGTTTACCCCAATGCGTGAATAGGTTGCCATGTACATCTGTGATCTTTCCATGAAAGAGCCCCACAAGCCAAGTCGAACCAAAAAGGGCATTGAAACCTATCTCTTGACCAGCACGAATATTTTCAAGTGCACGAAAGCGTGCCAGGGAAAGCTGATCTCCACCATGAAAACGCAAATGATCTGAGGAGTTTGGTATTTCATTGAGTTTGAGCTCATTTCTAATGGCCTTGTCAACCTCTGCATTTCCGACGATTGAGGACTCATCAATTTTCCATGCGGGTAAAGGGTGAATATCTGACTTGTGCAATTCTATCTTTTCATCGGTGAATGGTTGATGGTCCTCGAGTTTCTTTTCAAATTTGATGAAGCCTTCACCACCATGCTTGATAATGATACAAAGAATGGTGAATATAAGATTTTTCTTGAAGGCCTTTCGCTCTTGTGTTGTGTGAAGAATGTCGGTAAGTTTCAGAGGTGGAGTGGCAAGAAATCGGGCTTGATAATCTGCAGTTTTCAGGTCTTCGATACGGGCTTTAAAAAGTGGGATCAATGTGGCACAAGTCCCATTTTCTTGAGTATCTATAATTCATAAGTATGCAGCTAAATTGTCAAGAACCAACAGCATACTGTGGCGGCCAATAATCTGTTCCGCATTGTGAAACATCATGTTTATATTGTCATAGACGGTTGAATACAGCCCAGTGGCTGCTATGACTCGTGCTCGAGCACGCATTGAGTCAGACAATTGACGCAGTGTACCGGAATATTGGGTACGGGGAGCTGTATCAGCTGTGGTCACTGGTGCCAATGCGGAAGGATCATTTGCAGCGGTATTCAATGATGAAGTTCCTGGCTGAGGTTCAGGGACTTGGTACGCCGGGGTAGCGGTTTTTTTCTTGCGTGCACGGCGCTTATTTTTTGTAACAATATTTGTGTAGCTCTCGGTAATCCCCAACGTTGAGAGCACTGTCATAGTCTGACGTTGAGCACCTGAAGCATACAGATACAGCCCTAAGATTTTTTTGGATGTATTGTTTGAATGGCTGTATTCCCCAAGGCAGGTGAGGGCGGCTGAGGTGACGACCTAAGTAATTGTAAGCCCTTTGATTACAACAAAGCTGAAATGACAGATTTACCATCTTTGTCCTCTCCCTGCGTCTCTCCGTGTGTTTTTCTTCAGCGTGACGAGATGTTGAAAACTTATCGCTTGCCTTCCTGCGACGTATAGCCTGCCTCTCTTCTCAGGTGCCAACAACTGGTGAACTCTGGACAGGGCCATCCGAAGTATCGAGGAGCGGTAAATTGTCCTCAATATCAGAGGGCGCATCAACCTCAAGGCCTGGTTGATCTGGTGTTGGAGCCCGACTTGCAAGATATGCCAGGAGAGAGTTGTCAAGACTTGGCAGTGGATGCAAAGACAAGTCGGCAAGGCATTCTTCCTCGGATTCTTTGTCGTCATCAGTAAAAAGCTTGGGAGAGACGAAGCGGTCTGGCATAGTGAGATAGATACAGTTGAACTACACTAAAAGAAATCCAAACATTTTCGATCATGATCGACAAGACAGATTAGGAAAGGAGTCTCTCCTTGCTTTCGAAAACTACCCAGGTGTTTTACCTATGCCTGATCTTCCTCATCAACAGCAGTCCAAGAACAAGAAGGCCCGACGCGCTCAGGTAACAAGTAAAGCCTGGAGTGGCCTGCGAGCAAGAGACCTTGAAGGCCCGGGGCTTGAGCAGAAGATTCGCGAAAAGTTCAAGTGGGCTCACTCACCTTGTGAATTCCAACTGGAAGCTATCAAAGCCCAACTCCTCCACAAAGATGTACTCATCCACACAGGAACAGGCTCGGGAAAAACCACCATTGCAGCAGGACCACATGCTGTAATTGAAAAGTCAAAAGGAATGATCACGTTCATGGTTTCACCGCTCCTCGCCCTTCAAGAGGAACAGGTCAGTCAGCAGTTCTATCCAAAGCATAAAACTCATCTTGAGCCCAGGTGTTGACTTTTCGAAACGAGTTTGGATTGATGGCTACAGCGGTCAATAGCATACACGGCGGTTGCACTTCAGAGGTGATGACAGTAAGTAATTGTACGTTACACCAAAACACAGCCTTACCATGAAGCAGAGGATATGCAAAGGGGAATGGCAGATTGTGTTGATCTCGCCTGAGATCATCCTATCTAAACCCTTCATCAAAGACGTCCTACGCAATCCGGCTAAGGTCCCTAGGATACTTTCAATTGTCGTTGACGAAGCGCATGTTGTGTCGCATTGGGGCGCCGGCTTCCGAAAGCAATACGCAGAACTTGGCATTCTGCACGCAATCCTCCCGAAAGGCACCCCATTTGTGGCTATGTCAGCTACGTTGGCCCCACAAGTATGGCACAATGTCCTGAAGAAGCTGCAGATTGATGAGAGAAATTATATCAACATAGACATTGGGAACGACCAACCAAATGTTTCCATCGTCGTTCGCGCGATACAAAATCCAATGAACACCTTTAGTGACCTCGACTTCGTCATACCCAGTGATGTAAAGGCTGCAGGCAACATCCCCAAAACGTTCATCTATGCAGATCAGATTAGCGCGGAGGTCGGAATGGAGACGCGACTTACAGAACACTTACCACCAAAGCTCCGTGATATCGGCCTTATCCGTCCTTTCAGTGCTGCTTTCAGCCCCGAGCATTGACAAATGTTGCTAGAGTTGTTCAAAGCTGGCGTTATACGAGTCTTGATCTGTACTGATGCTGCGGGAATGGTGAGTGTTGCCTGTAAATCAATTATACACATTGATCACACAAATTAACAGGGGTGTAACATACCGGATGTCGATGTTGTTGTCCAGTGGAAACTCCCAGCATCTGTTTCAACGTTTGTGCAGCAGGCAGGCAGAGCTGGTCGTGATCCAAAGCGAACAGGTTTGGCGGCTCTTCTCGTCGAAAAATCTGTTTATGAAGCCGACCTTACGAAACTGGATGAAGCGTTGTCAGGACACAAGAAAAAGAGTGTTCGTCAATCCTCAACATACCCAAAAGCACCAAAGGGCTACGCAATTCGGCACAATGTCCAGCGTGGATCATTTGGCGGGTTGAGCAATGAGAATGTTTGGAAAGAAGATGTGCCGCTGGATACAAAATCGTTAGACAAGGGCTTGTACAGTCTGGCACAAACAGGGTCTTGTCGACGTAAAGTATTGACAGTCATCTATGGGAACGATACACCTTGTGAGTCCACAGCAACATCAACAAAAATCTTGTCCGACAACTTACAAGTTTCGCAGATCTGACTGTTCCATGCTGTGATCTATGCGATCCAACACTGCTAGATCGCACACGCCTGGCTCCTAGCACCATCCAACCCAAAGCGGCAGCACTGAAGATGGGCATAGTCAACGAAACCGTTCGTTCAGCACTCCAGCAATGGCGGTCTGAAATCTTGAAGCGTGACTTCAAGGATGCGCTATTCGCGCCGTCAGGTATTCTAAGTGATGAGCGTATCGACAATCTGTCTTCTGTTGGGTCCATTGGCAGGTTGAACGAATTGGAGCGAGTGGTAGGGGCGGACTGGCCATGGTTTGGTCAATATGGCGACGCGCTGCTTGAAGAACTCTTGAAACTTGACATACCTCCAATGCAGCCCAAACAACAGCAGAAAAAACCCGAAAAGCGAACAGTCCAGGAACTCGAAGGACAAAGGGAGCCACAAGGTCAACCTGCGACGAAGAAAAAACGAGGTCAGAAGCAAGCCGCTGTTACACCAGCTCGGAAGTCAACTCCCACAACTGTCAATCCTTCCAATCCTTCACCATCTCACGTTGCCACACCCGGGCCGTCAGTCCCAGCTTCCACGCCGCAATCTTATAATTATTCAACGCCTCGACACTACGCAACGCCACAGCGCCCTACCTACAATCCTTACTCTTTCATGTATACCATGCGCCCACTGCCCCCATTTTACGGCTATCTACATAGCCCAACTCAAGCTCCCATCCACACCCCACATCCTTTGTCAAACGCTGCATCGAGGAATCCGAATATGCCTTCGTCATCAACGACGGGTACTCAAGATGTGGGCCATACTTAGGCAGTACTTACTAGTTGGTTTTCAGTCAAAAAATCTCTTTTTACAAACCTATTTCAATCAATTCCAAATGTAATGAAACGTACAGAAAAGTTATGTTGAAAAGAAGTATTTGTGGAAAGAAGTTAAATGTTTTGACAAAGTGGTTGGGCGTTGAATCGTGAAATTTCACTAAGTCAGCGTCACGCAAGGGGGGTTCCCCTTAAAATGTGTCCGTTGCTCCCAGTCCTTCGGTGGTGATCCTCCTTTTCACACTCCGCCATATGTTTGCCAAAACAACAATACCACAACAACGGATAAACAACCACCACCGAAGGACTGGTCACGAGTCTAACATGCTATGAGATAACTCCAGCGTCCTGTAGAATATAGGGAGGAAGGAGTAATTAAATATAGCAAATATTTAAATACAAGAAATCCGTAGACACGGATAACTTGTCTGTGCCTAGGACTTGCCCGGCTCGCTCAAGTCAGATCTAAAATGAGAGCAATAAGATCCGAGAAGGCAGGCAAGACCTGAGCGTCTGGGAAGCTGTGCAAAACCAACCAGCTATACCAACCAGAGTGTAAGCTCACAACAGGCAGGTTGGTTCAGCACAGAGGAACTACCCAAAGAAGCGTCACTCTGGGAGAAAGTTTATATGTTGGAATACAAATACAGAATAGACAAGTAAATACAAGATAGCATTGTGGGAGAGGATTTTGTGGGTTAAGAATACAGGAAGAATAAATCAGTATAATAATAGATGCTGGTGATCAATATAAATACAAGTAAAGATGAGTGGAGAATTACAAGGAGAGGTTCCCATTAGAGGCAACAATGAGTGCTGAAGGGATTTTGTTATGGATACGGAACTGTTCAAAAATTGCAGCCAACGAGTCAAGATGGGACTTGTTGTATGCTTTTGAGGTGCTCATTGGCAAAATCTCCTCCATGCGGCGCCAGTAGAGCAGGAAGGCCAGAGAAGTCCAACCACCTGTCGCAGCAACAATTTCTGGTGGTACACCAGCAAGGAGAAGCTCCACAGCACCGCCAATACGAAAACTGTGACCAAGAACATGTGCAAGCATAGCGGATGACCAGATCTGGGTGCAGAAACTTAGAAATTCATGTTTGAGAAGGGGTTTTGACTGAGAAGAAGCAGTGGTGTATGCAAAAAGAGGGGCGGACTGGTCAACGGATGAGTTAACAGAAAGATGATTTCTCAAGGCAGTTACAGGACAAAGAATGTCATTCCGCACAGTGAGGATCACAGAAGCACCAAGTTCCTTAGTGGTCTTGGTCCAAGGAATATGGAAGTTTGCAGAGGAAGAGCCATCCTGCAAGGTACAGAAAGTGATCATAACAGAGCGAAGGACATGATATTTTTCATCGAACGCCGCTGCAGTAGTAACCGCTAGCTCACCTAGCCGTCGACAACCGAAGAATGTGCACAAGGCAAGAGCCCAAACTGTGGCATGGAAAGGAGTAGAGATATTAAGAGCACGGCAAAGAGCTAAGAGGTGCTCGATGGAGACAGGGGCACGCAGAGGGCGTTTATGTTTTGTTCCCTCCTTGTTTGCAGATACACGGGCAAGCTGAACCCATTCATCATCTCCAAACCAAGGGGCATGATGAACAACATGCCATGCGTGGATACCAGAGAGCCAGGAGCGTATGGTATTCCCAGCCTGTCTTCCTTTGTACTCCCCAATGAAGGCGCAAAGAAGTGGGTAAGAAGCAGGCATTCGTGCTTCCTCATCGATCCCCCACCTATCACAAAATTGGGTGAAGCGCAAGGTGCCAGCTGCATACGTGGTTTTCGTGTTAGGTGCATATGCGCCACGGATAGACATCATGGCACTGTTGACTAAGTGTGGAGGGAGAGAATCAATGAGGTATTGTCTGTGACGAGCAGCATGGGGTGTTTCCCATGCGAATAGGCGATCCGCAGCAGCGACATGAGGGCGTAGGGAGTTCTGGGAGATTTGACGGCCAGTGTGAGGCTTCCTGGGCTTGATAAGTCGAGATGAGAGAGGTAAGATATCAGGATCAAGGTGTTTGATAGGCAAGGATGATGGTGGAGTAGCTGTGGGAAGTGAAAGGGTATGCGACGTTGAAGAAGGCGCAAGAGATGTGGTAGAACGAGGCTTAAAAGGATTCAAGAAAATAGGACGACGTGTGGGGCGCGGAGGAACAAAGGATGAACCACCCACACTTGTCTCGACGACATGTGTTGCCGGTTTGAAAGGATGATCTAAGCTAAATAAAATATTAGAGTAAGGCGGGAGGAAAGCGATCATAGGGAGAAAAGGAGCTAACCTAGGCATGAAGAAAACAAGGAGATAGCTCATCAGGGAGCTTAAAGGTTGGGAAGATTTGCTTCCCAGCAGGTCCTGGTTCCCTGCGCGAGATAGGATCAGCTGGATTAGTGTCAGACTCAATATAGATGGTTTTGAACACAAGAGATGTGGACATAAGAATGAGGTGTGTTCGGCGAACAGCGAGATTAAGATAGATATTCCCGCTACGGCCCTTGTCAAGAGCACCAATGGTGCCTTGGTTATCAGAATGTACAAGTAAGTGAGCATCACGAAGGCCTTTGGCCTCTAGGAAAAGAGCCAAGAGTTCAATAGCGACTGTCTCAAGCCAGCAAATGTCGCGGCCTTCAATCTTCCAAGAAGGTGAGAGCTGGAAGGCGGCCCATTCACCGCTGATGATGATACTGATACCCCATGATGTGGAGGCGTCGACATACAGCCCAAGATCTGATAAAGGACCTAAAGGGCGAAGAGAGCGGTACACCCCTGGTAAAGTAAGCTTTACCAACCACCAGTTCAAGTCGGTGATCAGCGAATGTGGAGGATACTTTGTAAGGAATTCGTCGCTGTGGAAAGTAGACGCGAAGTTGGAAAGAGAAGGTAGGTGAGAGCGACCATCCAGATAAACGAAAGCGATGTGACAAAGGGATCCGTGAATCTTCTCAACATCACGTAAATGACAAGGTCGACCATCAAAGTCGATAAGAAACTGGAGAACGCGTTGATGAAATTTGTTTCTCTTTCCTTCTGGTAAGCTAACGCGCTTCCGAGGAATATCCCAGAGAAACCCAATAAAGGTTGTTACGAAGGAAAAACGTTCATCGCCCTTCTCGTCATGCCAAGGTACTCCCAAGGAAGAGATACAGCAAAGCATCTCATTCCTATCATAGTCGTAGCGAAAGTCACCATCAACGAAAGGGCCGGATGATGAAGGAAATCGGAAAGCCTTGAGATCGTCTTCGTATTTTGGTACCGGGAAGACCCCTTCTGCCCTCCAGATGTCAACAACGGCATTCGCAATCATACCAGCATTACTGCTGGTGCAAGCGGCCCCAAATGGGTGGGCATGATTGATAAAGAAATCATCAGAAGGCCCTTGGACGACGAGCCAAGGTTTATGAGAAGGAAGTACCAGACATGTGCGATGGAATTTCTTGATGTCAAGAGTGCATGCCTGTGTTCCAGGGGGTGCATGAGAAATCTGTAGAAGGATCAAAGGCATAAGCAAGGTGCAGGAGATGAGGGATAGATCAAACAGGAAATGAGGAGGATCTATGTGCATGATATGTAACAGAAAGGACAAGAAATGTGTGTATGTCGTGCATGACAACTCCAAAGATAATGCATGAAACATTATCACCCTCAACACAAAAGAGAAAGATCATCACACTCGACGTGTGGAAGAGGAGTCATCACACTCGATGTGTGGAAGAGGAGTCATCACACTCGACGTGTGGAAGAGGAGTCATCACACTCGACGTGTGGAAGAGGAGTCATCACACTCGACGTGTGGAAGAGGAGTCATCACACTCAACGCGTGGAAGAGGAAGATAATCATCGTGCGAGGGGCACAGAACAGGAAGGATAATATGAGAAGCCGGGTAACTTGCACAGAGCAAAAATACCCAAAGAGCGACCGGACGCGAGGCCAGCACTAACAAAAGAAAACATCTCCATGCACAAAACACAAAAGAGATGTGTAATAGGAAAGGGAAGAAAGGTGGGAAAGGAACGGAATAGAGGAATACTCACAATTTCAGCGACTTTAGATGCGGTGTCGAAACACGTAGGAAAGTCGTCCTTGTGGATGTACGAATTAATGGAGGCATGAAGTTTGGAAGCCTTAGAGAGGTGTTGACAAACCCTCAGCTTGTCAGGCACCCCAGGTTCCTGTGGCTGAACAGAAACAATAAGAGACAATGATTGAAAGGGGCCACGCAAAATCCGCTCGACATCCCCCCGAGTAAAAGGGCCTGAGAGCCTTCCGGTGTTGACTTCTTTAGTGAGGTAGTCAGAGACGGTGTCGGGGTAAGAAAGAATGGAGGGGTTGTTGGGCATGATAACGGTGTGGGGGAGTGAAGGCATGTGCCCAATAGGGAAGCCGAAACAGAGGTTGAAAGGAAGTAGAGGATAGTTGTCGAAGAGGTTGTGTTTGCGCAATAAAACTTCGAAAGTGTCAGTGTTGTATGGATGCAGGACTCTGTGGAAAAGAAGAGACTCGTCTGGAGAAGTAGAAGACAAAGGGGGGCGAGGGACAATGGAGGCGGAGAAATCAGAATAAGACAGAGGGAGGGAAAGCGACGCCTGAACGAATGCATCAGTTTGAAGGTTGTGGACGACAGGTCCATGAGAAGGCATGGTGGCGTTTGCTGCCACAGAAGGAGCAGAGATGGGCGCGTTCGTCTTTATGAGAGCATGCGTGTCTGTGGTTGCCTCTAAGATTCCAGCAGATGCAAATGACCCGGTTATCAGGGGTAAGGAGGTTGTGGTCGCTGTATTTGGACCATACTGCCTTCCCGTCGGATTTTGAACTTGACAATCACAGTACTGTCGGCGTGTTGGGTTGCATCGTGGCCTTGCTCAGCGCAGATGAGGCAGTCGGGTGTCGAGGAGGAAGACTTGCTGCTGCCGGATGAAAAGGGCTGGGAGGGACGTGTCTGAGATGAGTGAGGAGTGAGTCGTGGCATGAGTTTCCCAGCCATCACAGTGAAAGAAGCCCTGGTGGGCTCAGACGCCATCATCCCACGAATGTCAGTCATCATTTCCCGCTGTTTCTCAGAGAGCTTGTAGGCCTGGTAGTAGTGGGAAGCATCGTATGCACCATATTTTGCCCAATGTTCTTGACGGAACTTCAACTCATCGGCCTTCCAGGCATCGTAAAGGTCGTCTTTAGTGTCCTGGGCCGTATAGAAGCAAAAATGGTCATTATACCAGTTGCTATGAGCCTCGGCAGTCCCTTCTTCATCACGTTCCTTCTGGAACAAATACATGTTACCAGCAGCCTCCGTCCACTGACTGCAAGACAGAGAGAGTTCCTTTCCGAAGCGCGCAGAGAGCTTTTCGATATCAAGAATGACAGTGCCCTTTGTCTCACCAGGATTCGGATTTGTCTTCGTCGTCGGTAGAGTGGAGGCCTCAACATTCAAGATGTTTAGATTCTTATTAAGAAAGAACGGCAGAGGTACTGCAATGCAGATTTCCGTATCAAAAAGACTCTGAGGGAAGGTGGCCTGCCATGGGACTCCAACAACCCAAGGCACCATTTTTTGCCCATTCATGCAGCACCGCTTGGCAATCCTAGCTTCTTCCGCAGATAGCTTAACATCATCAGTAGTCTTCCTCTTGACCTTCAGCTTTTCTTTAATCTCCTCATCAGCAATCCATTTAGCAAGCTTAGCATAGATCAAATTAGGGAAAGAAGCTGCAAAGGACGGGATTCGGAAACGGTTCAAATCAGCTTCATCAAGAGAAATCAGAGAAGCCTCGTCGGATCCAGGCTGGGTATGAACAATAGGGTCAGAGATGTGGTCAAAGGTCTGCCGAGACCTGGCCGCATTTTTCTCTTCGATTTCCTTGTTCATCTGAAGAACCGAAACCAAGGGAAGCTTCTTCAGCATTTGAATAACCGTCGGTGAGGTATGAGTACGAGGAACGCCAGGGGCAGGAAGAAAAGAGTCAGGTGGAGCCGCCGTCTGAACAGGTGTAGCGGCTGTCTGAGAAAGAGGTGTAGCAGCAGTCTGAGAGCTCCCAGCGGTACTAGCTGCAGTTTGAGAGTTTTGGGAAGTGTCGGCCATCGTAAAAGTTGAAGAAAAAACCGTCGAAAATTCGAAAAATCACTGAGGTTGAAAGGACTCTTTTTCCCGCGTCAGAACGATAGTCTGAGGGACAAGGATAAATGTAGTCTCCTTGTCTAAGATTCGGAGACATAGATAAGTGTTTGTACTTATAAGTACAAACAGTTGGTTTCGTTCTGACGCTCAATCGTTATCTTATCCGATAATGAGCTTGCACTCGTTCCTCGTGCTTGCTCATCGCGGATGATATACTACTGTGCTAAAGTGAATATGCACACACAAATGCAATCAACATGGGACTGCTAGACACATGTATATTGACATGTCAAATAAAATGCTTCCAATGTAACCAAGGGGCAAAATGAAAAGCCACAGATGAACTGTATCCATCATGCAGGCTGTGGGTGACATGGACATGCTGAGGGTTGAAAGCAATGTTGGGTCACGTGGTCACGGTTATGATTCGGCCTTCGAGACGGAAAAAAACAGATTTTGACGCAACGCCTCTTTACAGATTGGGAAATCTTGAACACGATAAAATTGCGCGAGAAAGAGATCCCGTCTAAACTACCATGCAACTCACTTACGCAGGCAGGATGCGAGGGCAGGCTAAATTCTTTTCTGTTCACCAATTGTCCACTTATTTTTATTTAACCATCGTACTATGTAGTCCTAGTAATCGTAATGTGGGTTGTCCCCCGTTCGTTCTGTTATACATGAATTCAATATCTACACCCATTCTCGCTCACTGTCTTTGCCTTGTGACTTCAAAATTAATCCACATAGCTGAGTTGACTTTGATCAACATACCGTATATACTGTTTATTTCGTCCTAGCCACAATACCGCGCACCTTTTCCTTCTGGTGTCGAATCGGCACAGGCGGGGCATGCTCAAGGAAGTCCGCCAACGACGACAAGCTGCGAGCAACAGGCTTTGTTACCCTACGCTTGGTAGTACCCCCCTCCTGCGGTTCCATCATCTCATTAAAGAGCACGCGGAGACCCGGACGGAGGCGCGGATAAAGACTAAGGGCGCCGCCAACAGACCCGGCAACGGACTGCAGCTCGTTGAGGGTGTAAGGTTTCCCTGCTTGAGCGTTACTCCGAAGTAATTCAACGACCTTGGCCTTCTTCTCGTCGGGGACTTTGACTGTCATGGCCTTAGCATCGACGTGATAGCCTAGGATGGGAAGGGAAGGGCCGGAGAGTTGTTTTTCCTCGTCATGCGGAATACCGAGTTCGTCCCAGAGCTCAAGGAGTCGGGCTTGCTTGGTAGGGAGATGTTTATTGTACGGCTTGTAGAACTGTTTGTTTCGCTTGAATTCCCAGCCAAAATTGTCGTCGACGTATCCCAGGAGGCCGGATACACCTTTTTTCTCGGTGGCAATCCAATTGACGGTGGAAATAAATGAGTCCCAGTTCCATCCACCGCCTCGATTTCCAAACGTGTTGCACCGGTCTATGTGGTACTGACCGTTGATGGGGACGGCCTGTTTAATCTGCCATAATGGATGCATTGGCAGCTGTCGGTACGCGCTTTTGACATCTGATTTGAACAAGCAAAGTTCACGGTTAGGGTATTTCTTCCGAGCGGCTAGGAGTTGATCGCCGAGATCGTGTATATTGTCGAGCTGGACCTTGACTTGGGACTTTGAAATCGTCGAGTTTAGGGCGTGCGGCCCCCTGCTCTGGTCAACAATAAGCCTGAACTTTCCCGGAGTGCTTTTCGGCACAGCATTGATTGGGGCGGAATGCATCCCAGGCAGTAATTTACTGCCAAAAGGTTTCGACCATCGCTCAAGCGCCATTTCGTCTTCGCACTGCTGTCGAATAAACTTGACTTTATCCTCGCTGGTAATGCGAGAACCCTGACGCGAACCGTCATACGTGGTAGGAAAACTAGGATCACTGGTGTCCGCCCATGGCCAAAATCCTTTCTTGACCGCACGGGCAACAGATTGGACGAATGATTGGTTGGGGTGGTCTTCGACATACTTTTTGAAAACGTCGACCTTGATCGGTGAGACGACCTTAAAGAGATCAGGATTCTGGGAAATTGTTTTACGAGCAACTTTGTTCTGGAACTCGTTCCTGGGAGGCGATGGGAGCGGCGCAGCGCTTAAGGTGGAGTATGCTGAGATGGTCCTAGGGGTATCGGATTCTCGCCACCTCAGAGTGGGGGTACGTTGACGTAGTAAGTCTTTGCGAACAGCAGCTTTCTTTTTAGGATCATGCTGAGATAATGCTTGCGCCACGATAGAAAATGTCAGTCATTGCTAGGATCACGGTGACGTTGAAGGTATACCTTTGCTAGAGCTCGATCGAACTTGAAATTGTTTTAGCCGGTGCACAGCAGCTGCCTGAGGCTTGCTCAACATTGGAGAGCAATCTGCGGCATGACTCAACGCGGCTAGATATTTAAGTTAGTCCATGCGATGGATAAAGAGCACGGGGCTTCATTACGTTTCACAACATTTGGTCCTTGCTTCTTCGCAGCTCGAGGGTGGACAGACCCACTACCAACAGTTGCAGAGTTGTGCGTCGCTGAGAGAAGGAAATTTAGCCGTGTATTCATGGAACAGTGGAAGAACATACATCCAGGAGGAATCACGAAGTTAACCAATTGGTTCCCAGTACCGTTTGCTGAAAGATACACATTCGGTTAAATAAGTAACGGACAATAAAGATGGGTAACTTACATCCAGCAAAATGATTTGATGGCGACACTTTCGGTGTCGGCAGCACGCTCTCGGTAGGGAACTGCCCCTGTGGCCGGTCATTCATTGGGGGCCTCAGAGGGGTGTTCTTGTGATCTTACATTTACATCAACTGACTTGAACATTGCAACTACAACATCGAAACACTTGCCTTTATTGGCTATCTCCTGCACGAGGCGCGAGTGCGGGGGCGCTGCCAGTGAGACAAAAATCAAGTATCTGTATGGATAGATACACTACCGAGGCTTACCTCTGTGTTGCTGCGCTTGCTGGGGCTTGTGCGATGCCGATTCCCAGAACCTTTCGCTGGAGGATACATATTCAATTAGATAAGGAGCGGACCATGAAGATGAGCAAGCTCACATTCAGTAGAGAAGATCGATGATAATACTTTTGGCGGCATGCTTTCAGCAGGCGGATGTCCCTGGCGCTCGTTATTTTTGAGGGACTTTGCAGGGGTGTCTTTGTGGTCTTATATTTACATCAGCTTGAACACGCAATTATAACATCGAAAATTTTGCCTTCATTGGGTATCTCCTGCACGGGGCGCGGGTGTGGGGGCGCTGCCAGTGAGACAAAAATCAAGTACCTGTATGGATAGATACACTACCGAGGCTTACCTCTGTGTTGCTGCGCTTGCTGGGGATTATGCGATGCCAGATTCCCAGAACCTTTCGCTGGAAGATACATATTCGATTAGATAAGGAGCGGACCATGAAGATGAGCAAGCTCACATTCAGTAGAGAAGAACGATGATAATACTTTTGGCGGCACGCTTTCAGCAGGCGGATGTCCCTGGCGCTCGTTATTTTTGACGGACTTTGCAGGGGTGTCTTTGTGGCCTTATATTTACATTAGCTTGAACACGCAATTATAAAATCGAAAAATTTGCCTTTATTGGGTATCTCCTGCACGGGGCGCGAGGGTGGGGGCGCTGCCGGTAAGACAAAAATCAATTATCTGTATGAATAGATACACTACCGAGGCTTACCTGTGTGTAGCTGCGCATGCTGAGACTTAAGCGACGGGTTCCCTGGAGCTTTTGCTGGAGGATACATATTCAATTAGATAAGTAACAGACCATGAAGATGAGCAAGCTCACATTCAGTAGAGAAAAACGATGACAAGACTTTTGGCAACACCCATTCAGTAGGCGGTTGTCCCTTGCCCTGGTCGTTCGTCGGGGTCTCGGCCGGGGTGTTCTTGTGGCCTTATATTTACATCAGCCGACTCAAAAATTGCAATCATAACACCGAAACACTTGCCTTTACTGGACGTTTCCTGGGCTAGACGTGAGTGCGGAGGTGCTGCCAGTAAGACAAAAATCAGTTATCTCTATGGATAGATATGCTACCGAGGCTTACCTCTGCCTTGTTGCGCATGCTGAGACTTAGGGGACGGATTCCCCGGAGCTTCCGCTGGGGGAGTGGACAGTCGGTTAAATAAGTAATAGATCATGAAAATGGATAAACTCACATCCAGTAGAAAAAAGTGAAAATACGGTCGACAACGCACTTCCCATAGGCGGCTTTCCCTCGTTCGTCGAGGGCTTTGGAGGGGTGTGGCCTTCCATGGTCATCAGTCAACGTGAACATTGGGGTTACAAGGTCGAAACACTCGCGTTTACCGGATGTCTCTTGCATGAGACGCGACTCATGCGGGGGCGCTGCCAACAAGACAAAAATGGACTATCCATATGGACAGATGCACTACCGAGGCTTACCCTTGTGTTGTTGCTGAGACTTAAGCGACGGCTTCCCAGAATCTTGAACTAATGGTGCAGACGATTGACCTAGCGCTTCGAGTTTAGATGGTGTGCACACAGGGGGAAATGACACAAGCTTACCACCACGCGAAGGGCGTTGAGCTTGCGTTGTTGCCACCTGGACCTTCGGGAAAGTGTTACTGGCAGTATCTACACTTCTTCAATAAAAATGAAACAGCGACGGGTGTAGGACGGCTCACTTTTTCCTGATTGCTGTTGATGGGCTGGCGATGCTGAAAAGAAAGTAGGATCTATGGAATAAACATGAGCGACCAAAAATTTAAAAATTGGCTAGAGCTCACCCTTTCGGGGGGTCGGAGTATGGTTCTGTGCTGTTTGAGCACGAGGTTGGGTATGGCCACTCTGTTTTGCTGCGACGCTGATTCAATCAATGGTAAGACGAGGGACAGTAGGGGGTCTTACACCTCGGCGATGGGTCTTGGAACACCTTGTTCCCGGATATGGTTGCTCCATTTACTAGTTTACGCGATTTTTAAGTTACACGACGACATCTGAATAGGTCTAATGGGATCACCTTTAGGCACATGCAAATATTGGACGTTTCCGGGACGGGGTGGTGAAGGCCTGGTGCCAATACCTTCAGTCCCAGTTACAGACGAACAACAGGTTAATACTTACGGCGCTGAGTTGGAGGCCGAAGACTGACCTATTAGAGCCGTTTAATTGGATGGCGTAAGGACAGATGAAGATGATAAGCTTACCTCCAAAGAAGGCCTGAGAATGTTTCGGCTTCGGTGCTGCGTTTTTCGAAGAAATGTTGGCTGTATGACAGGAACCTCAGATCACGCGAATGAAGACAAGGATAAGTCTCACGTTGAGGAGAAGGCCTTTGGACTTTCTGAGGGCCATTGTTCAGCCCACTTTCATTACGTTTAGCTGATGAAAGGTTCTGTTAGTACTGGAAAAGAACAATATACTCTGAAGAACTTACGCGTACCCTGATTTACAGATCGATCTTGGGATGCCCTGTGTCCAGAGGTTGCTTCGGCTGATGATAGAGATACTATTGATAAGCAGATGTCGGAGGTGCTCATCAGGACTTAGGGACTTGCTGACACGAGCCGTGTAGACCAGTGTAGGCCTACAAAGTTCATGTACGCAAGCTCCGAATCCCTGATGCTTACCTCTGACAAAGTTCGAACCGTTGGCGCCTTGAGATTTGGGAGCCCCGTTATCAGGATTTTGATCTGAGGCAAAGAATGGTTTGCTTACGTTTAGTCCCATTTGATAGACGGGGTGCGTTGGCTTGTGGTTGTGGTTGTGGGGGTCTAGGTGCAGCAGCTGTACCTGACAACGCGCAATCATATTTGGGGGGTGGGGAGATTGGGTTAAATATTTACCTGATGATGCTGGAGGCTTTGAGGAAGCGTTTCCCATCATCTTGGCTGAGAGGAAGTTAGCAATGGACGACGATGGAAGAGTTACTGCAATCACGATGGGCTGCAGCTACAGATCGAGGCTTATTGGTAGCTTGGGGGTTAGGGGACTGAGATGCCCCTCCTCCTGCGGCTTGCTTGGGTCCTTGCGATTGTCCACCGGACTTAGACTTGCGATTAGCCATGACTAGACGATGGCGGCAGGTTGAGGACTTTATCTCACGAGGAGAAGATACTTATACCGCTGCGGCTAAGATAACATTGACAATGGTGGGAAGGGTCTGGTAACTGCGCAGTCTGGACGAACGGTCCGAGTGGACATGCTTGGGAAGGCAAGAGAAAATGATGGTGGGACCATGACGGCTCTGCGGTCCGATTAATTCTTCCTAGTGGCTGCAAATGGCGAGCTTCAGCTTGCCTGCCGTTTTTCATAGGTTCCTCAGGTGTTCACATCAATAACAGCTACCTTGTCAACCTTATGACAATGGTGGATAGAAGGGAAGATGTAGTCAAGATGTAGTTCGTGTTTACAGAAGCTGACTAAGCACTGGACGATCGTTGCCACTGCCGACTAGCACTGACTCGACACGTCGACCATCCATCGTCCTCTAAGTACCAACCAACAATGCCCTCCACGGCCCTCAGTCGCTCACTCAGCTTTCCAAAGTCGCTGCCTATATTATTCCACTTCCGAATCAACCCAAAAGAAAGCACAAGACACGCTGGCGAGTGCGCAGAAAAACGCGAATAAACTCTGGGAGAGCAACAAAAAGTACTTGGACCCTCTTGCTAATGGAAGATGCGAACAGCGTACAAACAGCCACTACTATACAACCTCTCCGTAACCAAAGAAGTTCTCAAGCAGAGCTACGTCGCTGAACGACTGCAGCCACCGACCCTCTCAGCCGTCCGATAGGCTTACGAGTCGATTTGGCACCAAGTCTCTCGCACCGGCGCTTTTGGCAAGTTGGTCTGGGATGGCGAGGCTGCGCGGGTGGGTATCTATGGATTGCAGGCGTATGGGATATTTAAGGTGTGTTTTCGTTGCTTTTCAGCGTTGGAGATGAGGAGGGCTGATCTTTTTGGGTTGTGATAGATTGGAGAGATTGTGGGACGACCGTGAGTTTTGTTGGCTATGACCTCTATTAGATGTGGTGACAATGGCGTAGATGAATAGACTCTCTTACGTTTTCGCGTGCGCGTGTGAGGACGCATACCTCAGACTCCTCAATCTGCATTCCAGCGCCGTGGCCCTCAACAACCCCCGTTCTGGCGCTTTCTCTCACAATCAAAACCACACATCCACCCATTTGCAGATCACACCCATCTACAGTGTACCCCTCGCCTCGCATCGCTTTCCATCTATCCTCGCCCTCGCAGTGCCTTGTTCCGCGCCTACACCTGCGGTAGTCGTATTGAGACGAGGTCTTTGTTGGACCAACATTCTTTCTGGACACCGATATCTTGTCTACAAGATACTCTGCCGAATCGAGCCCAGTCGAAGGACCTTCCCAAACCTAGAAGTCCTATGCTCCGGATGGCGATATCGCAACCAATCCGGTGATAGCGTCGGCTCTGTTGAGGGGGGGGAGTTGTCACTAAGGTGGCTTTTTTATGTCTCACACGGCTCGTATGATGTTCAGTTCAGTTCAAATGTTGATCATACACTTCCACAGTCCGTTTCTTTCGCTCAAATTTGTAGAGAAGAGATTAGTGTGGAAGGGAGGGAAGGCCATCAGATCTGATGATGAGGACCGTCAATGAGGTAGGTCTTTCCTCGACATGACGCGCATTCCCTCACATGCAGATAGTACCTTCTACGGCATACTTCCCCTACCGAATATTGCAAGCCTTCCTCCAGTCGACGTTAGCCAATCGCAATAACTCATCTAAGTGTCCTATCGCAAAGTGGGTTCTTCCTTAGGGAAATTCATGACTTCATCGTACCTACCCATCAACAGCATCCCTCTTACGTTGTCGCTCATATTACGAGCTTCCGTCTCGGCGCGGATAAAATGGATGCGGAGAAACAACGTCCACCGATCTGGCAACAGGGCGGTCGGGTGAAGTGATTGTACCAGTACTCGTCTAAAGAGTTGTCTTGCCAAGCTGAACGCAAGGCACGGTATGAATAGTTGCAGGAGTGGCTAATGTCGACAACGCAGCGACAACGAGTAGAGTGCTCGCACAGGCGAAACCGATATTGTCGATGCCCCGCCTTGGCTTCGTCAAGTCACTGAGCCTGAGGTCATAACGCCTTTTTTGTCGCTCATACGAATTAACCGTTGCTGGTGAAGGGGAAAGAAGAAAGAAAAAGAGAGAATACTAACCGGCTTGGCCACTCCTTGTAACTCTTAACGGCCTCACGTCTTCGATAACCACAATAAGCAAGAATACATACAGCGCTATGATACATTGACGATGGATACAGAAACATACGATTAGGCATACTATCGACGAAGAGTCAGGGTTAAAAATGAAATCAAAACCGGAGGGAAGACGTACTCTAGTAAAACTTAAAAGTGTCCATAATGAAAGTGTCCTTCCTCTTCGTCCCATTTCCCATACAAGCTCTTTACAACGTCACTCATTTCTGACTTGCGCTCCGCCTCCTGCGTCGCTAGCCCACTCACCACCGCCTGACTCGCCGCAGATATTTTAGTCCTTGGTCCCACTGCCCCCTTCGGTGAATGCTCTGCGTCGTCCTTGGGCGAGTTGTTCTTCCCCTTTTTGACGACTTAGACTTCTTCACGGGTTCATAGAGGCGCTTGCGCTCCATTGCTTCACGCATGGTGTCTTCCTCGTCTTGAGAAGGGTTGAGCAGGACGACGTCCTCGTTCCGGGAGTACTTCTTCCCGCATCGAGGGCAGAGCTCGAGTCCGGCGTCTGAAGGGTCCGTTGTAGCCGCTTTTTCTTTCCCTTTGTCGTTCTCCTGGTATTTTGGACAAGACAAGGCAGAGACGGTCTTCAGCCCTGCCTGGGAGAAGACGCAGCCGCAGGTGGAGAGGCAGACGAAGAACTGGGCACCGTTCATCTCCTTCTTTTTAAGTAGGCAGACGAATTGTGGTCGTTCGGCGTCGCTTGGTGATGGCTCGGACGACTGAGGTGCAAGATTGGGGCCAAGAGTCAGAGTTTTCACGTCCTGTTACATCGCTGGATTAGCCTGCACGCAGAAAATAGCGGCGTTCGGACTCACCTTCAGCGACCAGATATGACCAGATATTCTCTTCCCGTCTCCATAGGCCGCTTTGTTGAGCAAATACACTATTATCGAGTCCTTATTGTACAACTTGCCTAACGCACATGAGACGATAGGTTCCTGCGGTTTACGCTGTGATTGAAGAAATATGAGCTCGTCGTCGTTAAAACAAAAAATTCCGCTCACCTTTGACAATGCACAAAAGAACCACCGTGCCCGAGTCTGGTTGGCCTTGTCAGCTTACTCCACCTAACGCTCAGTCAGCTCCATATCTCACAATATGTAAGAGTTTTATCACCTTCGACTTGTTTCTAACGAGATCGTGGCGATCTGGAATGCTTCTACCGTCACTACCATGATTTCGATACGAGGTGGTGGAGGTACAGGAGAAAGTGGTGACTACAAAGTCCGACGTGACAATCTTCACACAATCCCATATCGTGGGCAAGGTCCTACCCAGCAGCGCAATGCTGCAGGAACTATCGCATATGGACAAGGTAAACTCAGTTTCAAGATGAAATACAGCAGGTATGCGTTTCATCTCAACACGAAAAATTCGAGCACTAAATGAACAAACTTTAGTCGTCTTCAGCTTCTCCTGATCATGGCGAACAGCATCAGCTATCTAACGTCTCGGTCAAACTTCCTTCAAGTCAGCCGGGAGATTCCCGTAACGAAAAAACAGAACCCCGACAAGTATGACCCCCCATGTGTTTGAAGCTGAGTGACCCGCCTCGTCTACTTTTTCAACAAAAGGATAACGCATTGCGTCGGTCAGCGAACAAGAAAGAGCTATTAACGGACTTGATGGTGAAAGCCAAGCAGATAGAGTATCTTATCAACTCTTTGCCAGAGCCAGAACCGGAGGAAGAACAAGTGAGTCCATGTCGATCCTCCCAATTCGATTTTTCGCTTACATTCATACACCAACCAGGCAAAGAGAATACAACAATTAGAGGAGGAGATGACGCTCGCGAATGAGGAGTACATGTTGGCTGTCGGTCGTGCTAGTAAGCTCCTCCCTTGTTCCCTTCTTCAGACTTCAAGTTGACGCTGTTTACGAGAAAATCTTCACTCCCAAGTTACAGAAGCCCTGCAGGCCATGCTTGTAGACAACGCGGCTGATTTGCTACAAGGTAGACCATTCGTTCCCGCAAGTATCCACACCACACGACCCATAAGCTGATGGTACGTATCGATTCGCCCATCCGTCATTGTGTATATCCAAGGGCCCGTTTCCCTCAGAAATTTGATACCTACCAACAAACAACACAAACCCAAGCATGATGTGTTTGCCCTCCTCGCTTGCTGTCCCCTTCCAACTCCAATTTTAATTCCGCTCCCGCTGTGATATTCACGCTCTAGCTCTCAATTCTGCTTACCCAAATATGTGGATGGGACTGCTCAACGTCTTTGGAATATGAACAGAGCGTGCCCTGCCCCCACTTTCACCCCTTCTTCAACTCCATTCCTGCCTCCAATCCTAGATTTCCAACACCCGCTTTAAAACAAGAATCTCGACGTGGGGATTCCCGCGATCCGCTCTCGCTTCCTGGCATCCATCTTAACGTCACCATGGAGGTGACTATACCTGAGATGCTCACAGTCATCGGATCAGGAGGAGGCGCGTCTTCGTTATTTGCTTGTACCTTTGGGGTTGACGACGATTATGGTCGATAGGCAGTGCTTGATTGCTGCTTCTGGAGGGATGACGACTGGCTGCTGGGAACCTCCTTCGGCTTCTACAAATGCGGATTTGTGGGATACAGAACTCCTCCCTCCTCACATTGCGAGACACGTGCAAATTGGGGACTGGGCAATTTTTCTTCAGCTCCAGCGCCTTCAGTTCCACAGCTTAATTTGCTTCTCTTCCTCTCTTTCTTCTCTACACCGATTCATTTCCTCTACATACTTTCTAAAACACTAGCATTTCGAAAAAAAAAATTCCCCACCCACCAAAGAAAGATTCCCGTCTACTAAAAGGCAAGGCCTCCGGCTAAGCAAAGGAAAGAAGACTTCAAGCTAAAAGAAAAGATGAACGCTGGTCCGACGGGGTAAGTTGCAATAAAAATAAAAAAAGCGTCATCCCCTTATAGAGTAGGCGGCATACTGATATCGACGGCAGACTCAAATTTCGTTGTTTAAAAATTCTTTATTCGCCCGAATCAGCTTGAACAAATGGGGGCGTACGTATGTGGAAGCGGTGTACTCTAATCGAATTCAGTGGACGAACCGGCGATAAGTTACAATCTAGTAGATAAAAACGGACCGGCGAGCCTACATCAGGTAAACCGAGCACAGGAGCAGGGCGTTAGGAGGACATGAGTATTCGTGGGGATTTAGTGCCAATGGGGGATTGGTTCTGAGGGTTAGACAAGTATGCAGAGCTGGCCAGAGCTGCCAGATCATTTCAATTGGAAAGTAGGGCGTTGGTAGTCCTGGAATGGACAGGTAAATTGTTTCCTGCTCTGGAAATCCGCGAAACTCTGACATGAATGCACATCTCGTAAATTCGGTCAGGTGGACAGTAGCATATTTCAGATGGCTCGAAAAAAGTTTAGAGGATATCAAATTGCGTTAGTTACATGTATCAGCATCAGACGGGGTGTAAATTTGAAAAACGAACTTGAAGAGAATCGAGGAAAAAGCACATAACTGAGGACGCGACTGTACACATTTACATTAGAGATTCACGGGCGAAACCGAGGTAGATGTCTGTAGAGTAATACTGAAGGAAGAGAACCATGCGATGCGGCGAGAGGTAAATGTTGCAACAAAAGTCTCGGTAAGATCCAGTTTTGTGAGCAAGATCCTCGACGACCAGAAAACAGAAAACAGAACATCGAGGAGAATAGAAACCAAAGCACGTCAGAGCATGAAAGGCCGGTAGCACCCGAAAAATTAGTGTTTGTCTCCGTAGCGTGAAAGGAGGTGCATGTAAGTATCCGAAATCTTGAGTGATCAGAACCGGGAAAAGGTGAGCAACAGTTTCCGCGAACAAATACAATGCGAAATTCGCATGCAGAGACGCACCTTCTCAGCGCGTTCCTTGCCACCTGGAACAAATCGGCAAATGCGAGTAGAGGTTTCGAACCATCTCTTTGTTTCGTCAAGGAGTGAAGCGCTAACGAAGCGTGAAACGAATTGAGTTGCGGACAGGCAGTAGAAAAAATTGAATTGATAACAGACTAAAGGCACTCTGTTCCTGTATTGTATGCAGTGCCCAGCAGCCATTGCCGTTCGTCCATGGGGTAAGGCTGTGACACCACGCGCATATAACGCGAACGACTCTCTACTGAATTGAATTTGAATAGCTCCAATTGCGATTGCTAGAAAATTCTATCGGATCTTGAAAAGTGTCTACTTATGGGAATACTGTGTTGTCGGATCTCAAAATGTTACCTGAGTTTTCCGGACGAATCCATGATCTTCGTTCGGAGTCAAAAAAGTCAAGAGATGTGTCTGAGATTGGAAGTAGAGTTTGAGCGAAGGTTCTGGTCTGTCCTTGATCTGTCCGAGTGCCTTCGCGTAGCATTCTATGTAGATTGGAAACGATGTAGGCAAATCGCATGTGGCACTCGCGTAGCCAAAGCGGGCTTTTAGTGGGCGATAATCATGCTTCAAGTTCGTGTTTGATAGCTACGACAGAGATTTCGAAGGACAATGTATATAGGGTGTTATCTTTGTATGTACAAAGTAAGTCAATCCTCGTGGTTGCTGTTAGCAGTCAAGGCAAGTATGACGTCGTCGTACGTAATAGCCTTCATTTTGTAAGCTCTCCATAGTTTGCGAAGCCGCTTGGGAGTTACAATGGCGAGGCCCGTTTGAATGAAGGCGGGATTTTCATCGTTTGGATCTAGATCTTGCAAGCTCGTTCCGTGGATGTCGGTTGGTTTCCAAATGACGAGAGTGTTGGCTGCAGCCTGGATGCGAATCTTGTAAGTGCCAATGTAGAAATGGCCTCCTGCATCGGGAGGATGGTCTCTTCTGACCGTCCAGGCTATTGCGTATTTGTGAGGCTGGTTTTCGAAGTGCATGGCTCTAAGAAATGGTGAAGATCAGAATGTATCTTGCAAAAGTAAGTGCGGACCTTGCATAGTTTCGACCAAACACTCCACAGGGAGGGGCGAGCTCAACGTTCTTGAAAAGAAAGCTTTCGTCACCAATTCGAATGGTATAGTCGCCTGTGACAGCATGGTGTTTGTCCTTGGCGAAATCCTTTGCTGCTCCCTCCGCAGGGTTCATTCGGAGGATGCCGTCTTTTTCGAAGAAAGCATTGAAGTCGTTGATGATTGGTTTGGGAAGAACGTCCTTGCATAAGTTCCAGAACAATGCGAGAGCAGAGCTGGAACGATAGTTCAAGTCGGCGATGACCTGATCTGGGAGATTGCGGCGTGTTATGTTTCTGACCCAGTGGATCTTGGGAGCGTTGCGAGAACCCGCAGAGAAACCAATTTGGACGAGATCACTAGGATCGTCCATCTGATATCGTTCGTCAGGAAAGCTTGCCTTGAGATTGACATGCTAAAGCTTACTCGGCAATTTCGACGGATATCAATAGATTCTTCGACGATGTCGTTCACCGACGCGAGTACTGGTTTGCTTGGGCAAAATTCGCGGAAGACATAGCAAACTTCCTCTCCATCCGAATCCCGAAAAAGGCGGCTATCGTCGATGGGTATATCGTGGTCGAGGAGAGCCGGATCGACTTTCATCAGTGGAAGGTAAGGGTTGCGGGGGTCGTGTCGGTCACCTGACGAGAGATGTTCCTCCCATCGCTTTTGAATCGCCTCTGTCTCGTACACCCAGTGCTTCAGAGGTGGATAAGCGTCGGTAGCGCTGTACCTTCTGACACACGTTTCGACGACACTGGCGAATCTCGCGGCATTGATCTTGCGGGCATGGGCTGTGAACCTGAGACTTTGACTCAAACGCCTCTTCGTCAATTTGTGACCATTCGTTTTCTTCTTCCGCATTTTGCAGGCTTCGAAGACGCATGAAGGAACAGTGGGTTTTCTGATGTTGCATTCCCTACTGATCTCTCGCAACCAATCCTGCTTTATCAGCTCCTGTTTGGGGTATGAAGACGACTTTTGGACGGTGGGCAGGATGTATGCGACGAAAGAAAGGCGGCTATCGTCGTCGGTAGCTTTTTTCAACAAGGACAGAGCTTTCTTGTCGGAAGCGATAAATGCAAGTAGGTGTTGAACGGATGCTTTGATGTCGTGTTTCTTCATCGCGTAGAGGTTGCCGCTAAAGTCGAGTAGACGTTGGCAAGTGTTGTGATGAAGTGTCATGTGATCGTGTTGAAGTTGTCTTCCTGTGACTGTGACCCTAGCTGGCAGCAGTTCTTTACTCTCTACCACCAGGGCAGTTGGTTCTTCGTATGACGTGCCAGACACTTTAGTTAGGCTGGGCCTCTACACGCATGCAAAGTCTGCCCGCTTCTGGTGGCGCCTCTTTCTGGTTGTTGCTTCTTGCTCATCTTCCAAGCTTCCTGGCTAGCGGTCGTTGTGCTCGCGGGGTATGTTTCTTTTTTTTGTTTTTTGAATTTGTCTTTGATGTTTTTGGTTAGAGTACAATAAGATAAAATTCTGTCGTAGCGGCGTCGTCGGTTGGAACGATTGATATTTGCATTGGCCGCGCACGCCAGACGCTTTAGTTAGGCTGAGCCTCTGCGTGTGTGCGATATGTTTCTGTTTGTGGGAATGCACCGCAGCCATTCAACATATTCCCGAAATTGGCATTGACGACGTCGGCACTACTGTTGTTGAGATCGTAGGTGTCCATTTTGACGTTGAATGGTTGTATCGCCATCCGCTCTAGGGGGGTACATCGACTATGCGCAAGTATGTTAATGTTCAGAATGGCGAAGGAAAGAATACTAACTTACCCGCGCTAGCTAGCTGTCCTTGTTCCGCTGATGCGCTGTCGACTCTACCATGTCGCCCAGGGAACGTATCGTATGCCGCAAATCCTGTTTACGCTGGCTAAAATGATGCGACACGAATTGTCTGCGAAATGGACAGACGGCGCTGTCGTATTCGTCTATGTCGCTATGGATCTTCTACGCCTCAACGCGGCGCACAGCCGCCCGCTAAACACCGTCTTTAGGGGCGGACTGTATACGGATGTTGGATGGCGTTGACTGCTGCTTGGATAAAGGCGTTCGTCAAGTGTTGGAAGACTCTCAGCAGGAAGAAGTGCTTACTTGGATTGTTTAGAGCCATACGTCCGCGCAATCTATCGATTTCCAGCAATTGGTACACCAACTGGTCACCGCATTTTTGGAATGCTTTCCGCTGATGCTGTGGGGTGGAAGAGTATGTGCGGCGAGATATGTCAAAGGATTCGATGTACCTTCGTCATCTCTGAACGACCATGGTACCGCCGCCCGCAAACTCGTTCTGCGACGTTGATGTTGTGCACACGGGTTCCCTCCTGGGGCTTTTGGATGTCAGTCTTTCAGTCAGTGAAGATTCTTGCAGCGACCGGTGCGGCATATCGCTTGCAGGATGTGTCTTGTAGGTGGTACAGAACAGTGAGGGAGGCTTGGTACGAAACTGGTAGTCATTGGGTTGTAGTTAAGATATATATCATTTAAATAAGATCTTCATTATCGTTCACATTGATTGCTGGCTGTTGAACTGGGGGGGAGTCATCAAGAAGATAATCTGAAGTGACTCCAAATGGTTCGGCAGGTGGAAGAGATGGATCAATTGTTGCTTCCGATGATGGGAATGCAAGCCAGATGATACTTTGAATGTTGAAAGTAAGCGACGTATTGACAGCTTGATGTTTGATGTGACTTTTGAGTTTGTCGTATGGGTATGTACTGAGAGTGAAAATGACGGCGACGGCGGAATTAGGCGAGATTTCGTCGCCTACAATTTGCGAAAGTTCTTTGTATTGTCCGAGCCGAAAAGGGCGAGTTCCATTGTAGACAGGAACTGTTGGATATCTTTATCAGTTTTTCATCATGGAGGAAATGGAAATAGCAGATACACCTTTTGAATCCCATGGTAGAAGAGCTTCGATGGTGGTGAGATTGCGTACGAAAGTGTGGTTGTGAAAGACTTACCAGGATCTGGCAAATTATAATCTGCAGAGCGTTGGGAGGAAGATGTGAGACCTCGTATGGTTGCAGGACTCGTACTCGTCTCTTTCAGAGGTCGTTTTGCAGTGGTGATGCTGACTCCCTGGTGAAAAGATGGAAGGAATACAGCTTTTTCTGCAAGCACGTCGCCGACGACTGCCATAGCGCGGGGAAAGGAGCGATTGGAGAAACAAACAGATATGTTGCGAGAAACATCGCCACTAAGGAGAGAGCTGTTTGTCACTTTGCCGAGCAAGAAGAAACAAGTGGGCGTGGTGCTGGAATCATCGCGGTGACAGAAGAACTTATTCTTCATCTGAAAGTCGCTGGGATCAACCAAAGCGAGGTTCTCGATAATTCCTTTTGTGCCTGGAGTGTCTTCAAGAACTCGCAATCGTTTGACCACATCAGAATTGAAACACGCATTGAAGTTGGCGAGACGGATGTGGGAGAGGTTGGGTGCAGAACTTGTCAGTTGGCATTTCATTGGAACGCCTTTTAAAACTTGAAGATTTTCCAGAGTTCTGGAGATGATAGTCAGAGATATTTCCATGTTATAGAAACGATGCTTGCTTTTCACGAAGAGTCTCGTCGCTTGTTTTTGGTCGCTTGCCTGGAGGTGCATCAGACAGTTTTACTGATTCGTCGTCTTTTCGTTTTCTAGGTGTTATGTGAGGAATCAGTTTGAGAAGAGTAACAAAATATACTTTTCAGAGTGCGAAGGCATGGTTGTAGTAGTCAAGAAATGCCTTGAGACTTTTGACGGAATGGCAGTCATGCGAGCAATGACATCACTTGTTGATTCATGACGTACTGGCTTCTTGGCCGACGCTTGGTCTGATTTCAATCTTTCATGGCTGGTCTAACTGCAGGTTTAAAGATCGAAGTGTTGTCTAAATCTTGGGAGTGCAGTAAGTTGTTATATATTCTATGTTTTGTTGTGTCGTTGAGTGATATTTTTTCTAGATACAAAGTTGAACACCCTTACTGATGCTCGTGCATGGTCGGAAGAGCACCGATATGTTCAACTCAGTGAATACGACGATGACGAATTGATTCGGGATCAGTTCTGTGTCAAAAAAAAAGGGCGATATAGTTATGTCGTCTGGAAAAAAGAAGCTGGGCAGCCAGAAGTTGTATTAAATATCTCAGGCTTTGTTGTATCGTCATTTTTTGGTCCAATCAATCGGTGAGTGATTCTTACAGCTGTAGAGGAAGTAACGTACATTGATGTCGGTGTTAGACATGTCAATTTACGCATCACGAGGCAAAACATTACTATCGTTGGATTGGGAAATCCTGCCTTTAATTCGGCTCTGTCGGTGTTGCGACGAATCTATCGCTTGCTTGACCAGAGCCATCCCATCGGTGCTATGCAGCCTTTTCGTTCTACTAAAGTCTTGGACACACCAGCATTCACTGCAGAGGCACGATTCTTGACGTCTATTGAGGACGTCGAAGCGTTTGCAACTGATGGTTATTCTCTTCGACATTCGCAAGATCCTCAGCATATTTTACAGAGTTGTGTTGGGAGTGGGAAGTTTGCGTACACTGAAGATAATCATGTCGAACTTAGTGAACTTGGCGATGCCGACCCAGACACAGGGTAAGCTCTTATTTATTGTTGACGTTGTTCGACTGACATGTGGTTGTGGCAGAATTCAATTTCCTAACAATATCGACAATCCTTGCTATATTCGTCCAGGTGATTTGGTCGAGTTGTCGTTCACATTGCGCTCCATCACGCTTGGAAAGGTTCAAACCAAGGAAGCTTTCGTAACGAAACTTGATGCAGTTGTCATTATAGATAAGTTTGGTGCAAAGGTATGTCTATTATTATCTAAGATTACTTCGAGTTATGACAGAGTTATACTAGCTTTTATATGATCGCGACTGCCAGGATGATGAAGCTCGTCGGGCTGAAGCAGCTCGTCTTGAGAAATCAAAGGATGTTTCTGCACCAAAGAAACTTCGTGTTGGGTCATCAGTCAAACTTAGCGATTATGTTGATCAATTTTTGGAAGTTGGAAGAGGCAAAGACTTGGATGAAGTTTGGGACAAAGAGTCGGATGAAGTAGGGCAGAAGGAACAAGGTGATGTTGGTGAAAATTCAGCTATGTTAACCTAAGTATCTTGCTTCACATCTTTCTTCTTTTCTCATTTCTATCGTTCATTTTTACATCGTCTGCCTTCCGTTTCATTCGGTTCTCACTTTTGCTCAAAAAAGTAGGTTTACCTACATGGATACTGTGTTTTCTTTCATATTCAGGCTCAGGTATCTGTATGATATCACCATCAATAAATTTATATGTAACGAGTGTATTATGTTCCATCACTTGTTGTCGCTGGTCTTCTAAGAGAAGATCATGAGGTAATGGCTGATTGAGGTCATCAAGAGTGACAGGTTGAATAATCACAAGTCCATATCTCGTTCTTGTTCTCGATGCTGAAACATATGCAGAGAATTTACCATGGTGTAAGAATGATAGTACTACTGGTAATGTCTTTCCTTGTGCACTCTGACCTGTGACTGCAAATCCTGGCTGAAAACCTGCTTGGTTGCGATGTAATTTATGTTTTTCAGGGTTTGAGTGTTCGTTTTCGGGATCAATGTTTATTGTAAGAGTGGCTGACCATGTCGTTGGTTCCAAAACACAGAATTGTGGAGGTAACTCTGACAGTTGAACTTTGCTGTTTGGAAGTTCAATAATAGCAGCTTTCATACATGTCATATTAGCTGAATTGCGGTAAGTTACAAGTTTTCTCAGTACTCCCTGAGCTCCATTAACAATGCCGAGATCTGTAGATATATTTTTATAACGTAAAATTACAGGCATCCCTTCATATAATGGAAGGAAGCCAGGCAATGCACCATCATTTGTGAAATGTGAAATGTCCATTCGTAACAGATGGCTGTGAGCACTCTCACTAAGGCTATAACCTTCAATGATATCATCAGCAGCACATACTGTCAACTTTTCTGTATTTTGACAATTGGCAACTGCTTTTTTCATGTTGATTCGTTCTCTCAAGAGGTTAGTAGATACAATAGCAACTGCATCATTGTATGGTGGTTTGCTCATGTCTACACCTTCAGGGTGTTCCGCCGATTTGATAACACGTGTATTAAATAAATCTACATCAGCTTGTGTACATTTTCTTTTGCGAAGATGTTCAACTGCAATGCCATATTCAGGATCTTCTTTCATTCTTTGCTGCTCATCAAGACAGATAACATCTGTTAATGATTTCCATGCCAAACGTCCAAGCCTGCGCAATAACTCATAATCACTTGGTCGGTCATATTGATTTATAGGTGTATATAATGGTGTTTGATACACAGGTGGAAATTGAAAGAAATCACCAGTAAAGATGACTATTACTCCACCAAAGTACTCATTGTTATTTTTGGCATAACGTAATGCATGATCAATTTCAGCTAATAATTGCTGTCCAAGAAGAGACACTTCATCTATAATGATGATTTCAACATCTTTCAGATCTTCTCTCAATTTTTTCCTATCATTGACATTAATAAATACTGTATAATTCTCATCTTGGTCAAGTCTTTCATTTTTAGTGTGTTTTCTGACTTGTATAGAAAACCCTTTATGAATTGTGGAACCATCTACCAAAATTGCTGCTGAAGCAGTTGGTGCAAAAGATTTCATCTTATGACTAGCACCATAATGTTGTAACACTTTTTGAACAGCTTTGATAACATATGTTTTTCCTGTTCCCCCAGGACCTGTCATTAACATTCTCAGATAGTTTTTGAAAGCAGGACTTCTTATACAATTATCACTATTTTCTTCAACACGTCTTATAAATGTTCCTGCTATAATGCGGAATGCAAGAGCCTGTTTTCTATTTAAGGCTGTTTCTTTTATAATTCTATCTAAGAGAGTTGTTGCAGTTTCTTGTTTTATAGCATTTCCACATTCCGTAAAGAGAGGCGTCTTTTCACTACTATTATTATTGGAAGAAAAATGTTGTATATCACTTGTAGAAGGTGCTGTTGCACATTGCATTTCGGGATGTTGCAGATTTTGTCGATTTGCTTGTATGACATCCTCTTGATGTTTCATCTCACATGTCCACTGCATAATTTTATTGTGAGTAATGTCTGGAAGTGATGATGTTGAAGTTGGACATGTAATATTTTCTTCAGGTGGTTGGAACCAATTTGAACTTGCAAGTTTGAATAATGTTGTATTGATCTCAATATCCTTTTTGAGATTTCTTGTGTCACATAAAGCTACATCATGCAAACTGACTGAGCTATTATCATTGGCTAAAGAATTAGTTAATGTAGAAGATTCTTGTAGATATGCAGCGCGTTTTCGTAGCCTTTCAGCATCCCTTTCATCTTCACATTCATGGATTGCTTCCCAATTATGCATTATTTCTTGAGCTGCAGCACTGAAATGAAACTGTTTAAAGGCTTCAGTAACACCTATATTTTGGTTCCACAATGGACATTCTTTTGAAAAAGGCTTGAAATGAGCCAACATAAATAAGTGATAGGACAGCGAGTCATATCGTGGAATGGACATTCCTATGACTCTAGGTATGCAAAGATTAGTATTATCCCTGCCAACATTTTTTGTATGTTCAACAAGAACATGAGTTTGACATTGTGGATGAGGATACTGTAATTCATATCGTGGGTAAGTGCCAAGTCGCATACTTTCAGAATCTTTGACAGCAATATCTCTTTTCTTTGTAACTTTAAATCTCCAAATAAAGTCATAAAACGAAACATCTTTTAGCTTTCTATCTCTATAAATATAGTGATCAATTTGATTGGCTTTGATAAATTTTCCTGCATTATCAGTATGAAGTTGAAGTCTAACAGGCTCTATAACATCATTATCATTGACATTTTCAGAGTTACTTTTGCAAGTATCACTGTCACCATTGTTATCGTCACTGTCGCCATCTTTATTGTCTAAAGAAGTATTGTAGTACTTAGACTTTGCTGTATTGTCAGGAAATGCTGTACAAACAAAGTCAATGACAAGAGATGAAAGCATCGGAAGTGTTTTATGAGATTTAATTGTATCAGTCAAGCCACGTATGTATCTTGCTGCTTGTTGGGCATGAATTTGTTGCTGTTTTATAAACTGTGACAAGCACTTATGCAGTAAAGTTTTAGCACTCTCTTTCGTACTTGACGATGCTACCTCTTTTGCACGAAGAACAGCACGTGATAAAAGAGATAGTAATTGATAAGTTTTCATTTCCATTTTTGTAATATAATCAGTTATATAAAACATACCTGCTTTTGCAGCCTTTCCTGATAGGATGCAGCGTAAGTCATGATTATGATGACAATAAATTAAGATGTATGGATTATAATAATTAATCATTGGATCTAAACATTTAAGAAAGATGGAATTAGTGTCAGAGTCAAAATAAGAATGTGGAATGATATCATGAGGGAATTCAAAACGACAAGTTGTAGAATGAGTTCTATATTTATGACAAACCTCCCGGCAATGATGTCTTTGCATTTTTTCACCACATTTTTCTACTTCAGTATTAAACAAACTTTTTCTATCTTCATTGTCAGTAATATGACTGAAATCTGGAGGACGACATATTCTTGGCTCATAGTCATCTTCAACGATCACACCTGTTTGTGGAAGATCATGTTTAATTATATTTTCAAGATATTCAAAAAGATGTGTATCATATTCTTTTTCTGACTTCAAGCATTCATGAATTTCAGTTGGGTTTAAAGCACCTGCCATCCATATTTCAAAGTGAGCATGAAGTCTTCCACGTTCTGTATTTTCGACTCCACCATAAAATGCCTCCATATGCCCTAATATTCCACCATTCTTTTTACTTTTTCTAGTTTTGAAGTCCCATCCAAACAAATGTTCAATCATCTCATCAATACAAATTTGAAAGAAATCTGCTGCTGCAACAGGATCTTTTGCAATGCGCAATCCACGAACTGTAGAGGACACCATTTTTGGGTAATGTTCATCTAGATTGACAGAAGTGTCTCCATAAATGACTTGAAATAATGGACTGTGATTGGGTTCTGGATTGGCAGTAAAAAAAAAGAAAGGTAAGCCAAAATAGCCCATGTAGCTAATAATTTCATTACGATTTTGAAGCTTTATAGCTTCAGATCCAGGTATTTTTGCGGCAATAGTTTTGATTTCTTTGAGGACTGTTAAAACCTTTTTGTCATCATCATTATCTAGTAGTGCTACATTTTCTTCCTTCTCAAGTAAATTAGCAACTCTAGCAATCACATGAGGAGAAACTGTTGCTAATTCTTGTGCAATATGTTCAAAATTTGGGTTGGCGACAGTAAGTGATGTGTGAAGTTGTGCAGTATGTCGTTGAATAATATTTAATGCAATGAAAATGAAAGATTGATGATATCGGAAGGATCGGTCAGATATGTCAAGAAAGTAATTTGCTTGAAGTTGAAAACTGATTTTTCTAGGCCGATTAGGATCCTCAAATCCTCCATATCCAAGGGGAAATAGTGTTGGATACATTCCTGGAAACAAAATAGGATTATTATATTCACAAATTGGTTGAAGACCTCTATGTATAATAAGATCAGGACGGTCAGATGGATCCTGAATAATGTTTCTTAAAGCATTTGCAGTAAAAGTTCTACCTTGAATCTTTACTTGTTCAGGATCTGAGACACCCATTTTCTCTAAAAATACTGTTATGTCATTTTCATCACTGTTTTGTAATACTTGCAATGCAGGATGATCATCAATACCTGCAGTTTCTTCTGCAAGAAGTTTTGCAACATCAATATCTTTTTCATATATTACTCTATTCTCAATACCAGGAATAGCATCACTATCTGGATAAGCATTTAAGTTTTCTTGTGATAAAATTATATCTTTGTATAAGTAGTTGTGCTCTTTTAACCACAGAAGAAATGCCCATATTTTATATTTTCGCACATGAAAAATCTGCTTCAAACATTCTTTTGAGTATTTTCCAGGACCAATGAACACTACTGATATTAAACCTGTAATGTCATCAGGTGTTAGAGGTAGTTTACATGCTGTTGAAAATACATTGACATCATGTGCACATGTATTTCCACGAAATACTCTTGGCTGATTAGTTTGACTTGAA